CTTTTTGTAATGATAGAAAGCACACCTGGATGGCCAAACACACAGCTTCAGATAAAATCATACATAAACCCTAGAGAAAACTGGATTGGCAGCTAAATTTTATATATGGTCTTTATCTCCATCTTGCCTCATGTTCGTAGGAAATTGGTGACACTTAGAACCAGATGTGAGTTGAGTGAATTGGCCTTATTTCCAGTAATAAGAAGGAAATGTGTGAAAATGAGAGCTAAAAATCTCCCCTCCGTAATCCCAACAAAAATTTGACTCTCTCTGGCCAAAAAAACAGAAGACAACATACACAGGACAGATGTTGATTAAATTTTTAGCCACATCACTTAATGCAACACCAGGAGGAAGTCAGAAACTATGGAGGCAAGCACAGCAAAGGATCAGCAGAAAAGTGCACAGAGTGGCTCAATTACCAAAACATTTGAAGACCCAGGACCATATTTCACTGAACTTAGTTAACATAAAGATTAATACCTTGTGAAAAAGCAAGTTTTCATTATTTATCCTGAAGTTTGCTCTGAAACCTTGGGTTAATTCAAACCCCAGCTCTACAGCCAAACTCCAGAAGTGGAGGTCCACACCTAAAAAAGCCAACAAGGAAAAAAAAAAAGTTGTATTGTGCACCACCTTCTGAAAAGTACAAATGAAAGACGGGAGATGTTTCCATCTCCAGCCACATATTGTAATTCTTCCCTTTTTCTTAGTTGTTTTAGAAAAATGGACTTTAACTTGCAGAAAAAACGTAACTTCTTTTTTTCTGTTGAAAGATAAATTCAGATGGTGGCACCCTGCCTGGCCTAGCACAGTCCACCCATGGCACTAGAGCTGAAATGTTTTGCAGGGCAGTTGAGGTATCACATAAAGGGTTTGCTAAAGAAGACCTTCACACGCTCTCTCAGGAAGAAAGCCAAAGGTCCTATTTGCCTAGAGTGGATCGATCAGATCTTTGTATATCTAGTTTAAAGCATATTATCCTGATAACTTTGCCAGACTTTGCATTTCCCATATTAAAAGTGACCCAGAGCCCAGAATTTAATTCACCAATAAAAAGATGTAAACAATCAGTTAAGCAATTTCGGGGAGAGAAAAAAAAAAAAAAAAGAGAAAAAAAGATGGAGAGAAAAAAAAAAAAAAGAGAAAAAAAGAAAAAACAACAACCTGCACATATGGCTATTAGCCCAATTGAAATAAAAATTATTGTTTTCTTCCTTCAATTCAGGAAATCTCATTATATTTATAGCTGATGTCACAGCAAAAACTTTCACTGAGAGCAGCATCAATTAAAAAAAAAAGCAGCCACACCAGTAGTTCAGGTGAATGGAGCAATAATAAAATATCCTCCCTTAAATATTACCAAATTCTCAGCACATACCCCAGGATTAAGCTGTGTGAATGGGCAACAGGAAAAACCCAGGAGTCTCCGATTACAGGAAAGAGCTACTATTTATTTATTTAATTCCCCCCCCTTCTCACTCTGGAAGGGGGAAAAAAAAAAGAAAAAGCCCTTGTAACCGACTCCAAGAGCTGCCCCTGCTTGGGAGTTTGAACACAGGAGGAACAAGATAAATTCCTTAAAATTCTAATTGGGGAACAGTTGACTTAATTGGTGGCCATTTGGCAGACAATGGGAAAGGAGCCCTGGCTGGCGCTGATGGCACCCCAGGGGGATATAACCTTGCAACAGGCCAGAAAGCTCTCAGGGACAGATTGTTTCCTGAGAAGAAACCATGAGACCAAGGGTTGGATTAACCCTCCAACTGTCAAGCTTTATTAGGAGTAATCAGGCTAGATATAGCAAGGGTTAAACACAGGAAACTGAACTGGCAATGATGACATATGTCTCTTTAAAAACAAGGAAAGCGAGGGAGGGAGAAAGAGTAGGATCTGGGGAAGAAAATACATCTAAATGAACCACAGACTAATTCTTTCTGGTTCAGATGAGGTATCCGCTGGCTGTTGGGTTTGCTCCCTCCGCGGTGTTCCATGTCACCTCCTCAGAGTTTCTGGCTATCCCTGGGTTTATGGGCTGTGCTGAATTCCTGATGGCTTCTTTTGCACAAGCTGGGGTTAGCACTGAAAATAAAATGTTGCTGGTTTCTCAGGGCCTGATCCTGCCTTTTGCTGAGCAGACGGTGCTAAGAGACAAGAAAAGATCAGTATTTAATGGCGCACAAAGAGTTTTCAAAAGTGGCTTTGTGTCTTACTCCTGGGATGCTCAGAATTGCAGAGAGCTGTTTTATTAAGTCGTCTTATTTTTAATCAAAATTAAATCACCTTCCAAGATTTGGGGATTGGTGAATCAGAGGCAGCCCAAACAACTTTAGAAACACCACTGAGAATTTCTGTTCCTTGCACACCCCAGCCCAGAGCCTTTTCCAGTCTGTCCCTTCTGGCTGGGCTGTGGGTCACGTTTTCTGGATGGAAAGAGCAGATTGCCATGAGAATATTTTAGGTACCTGAACTCTGTATCACATCGAGAGCATCCCAACAGCGCAGTTTTGATCTTTTTCAATGCATAAAATGGCAGCGTGTTTATATTTGTAACGCACGTGTACAGCAGAAAAGAAGGAACGGAGGGGGTGTCTGTGTATGTGTATATTATTTTCATGATTTAAAATAGAAACAATTAACCTCAGGGTCAGGCATTCCCAGGCAGTTAATGACCACCTGGATTAAAAGCCCTCAGCTTTGCCTCAGGCCCTCAACTCCTGCAGTCAGTCATTAACTGCTGGAGATTCCCCTCCTGTCAAAAATCATTGTTTAATTATAAAGATGGGACTGAACCCAAATTGTCACTCTCTTTTGCCCCTGAATTTTGGAAAAAGTCAGAATTTGAATTCAGATCCAAGCGTTGCTGTTCAGGGGCATCTCCGCTTAATTATAAACCTATCAGTTAATTACTGGCTATAAATTTCTGACACCCAATTGGTTATTCGACAGCTTGCTAACACTGCAGCAGAGCCCGTATTTTGGTCAGAAGAGAGTGTCCATGGCAACCCACTGGCCAACATGGGTAAAAGGTAATTACTGGAGCTATTTCTCTACTTTCCTCATCAAAGTAGCTGCCAGCTCCTGTTCAAAGTAAGCAATGTTGTCCTCTAGTTGGGGAGTTTCTTGCCTGTTTGCATGTCTGACTTGAAGATCCTCCGTTCCCCTCAAATGTTGCAACAGGTGGTCACTTCCAGGAATTTTTCTCGGTCACTATTGCTCAGATCTGAGCGGATTCAGGATGCCAAGGGAAGCAAAGGACCATTTTCTGGTCCTATCTCCCACCATATCTGGTCTGCCAACTGCGAGCCTTCAGCAAAACCGACAGCATCATTTATTTTTTTTCTCTATTAAACATTCCAAGAAAGAAAAGACCAAATTAATAATAATTAAAAAAAAAATAATCAAAAGAGAAGAATAAAAGGGTACCTGGGCATGTGAAGTATTTCATCTGTGTTTGAAACCAAGAGAGGAACCGCCAGCTAAAAATCCACTGCGGAGGGTTGACCTTTACGATGGAAGGTTGCAGAAATCCAATTTGATCTGTAGTCACCTGTCTGCCTCTGCCCCTTTCCTGAAATGTCAATCTTGCGGGGAAATTTGGTTATATAAGAGAAGAAAAATCCTTGTAGGCAAAAAAAGGAAACTGCTCTTAAATATAGTCCTTTCAATTCGTATTCATTTTCGGTTAGTGTGGCAAAGCAGGCCCCAAGTCGTCTCCATCTAGGAAATTTGAATGGAAGTTGCTCATACAGACATAGTCAGCAACTGCCTAGTTCAGTGGAGATTTTTAATTTAGGACTAAGAGAGAGAGATTGCCAGCAACAGACCCAATGCAGCGTGCAACGGGGAATTTAAAGGGGGAAAAAATGTGTGAATCGCACTGGATATCATTTGAAAAAAGCAAATAATGTGTTTGATTCTCACTCTTTTTCAGCAATGTAATTGAGCAGACATATGTTCAAAAAGGGTTTGGGTACCAAAATAGTACCTCAGCACTCTGTAGGCACCAAAGCCTGAAATCCAAACCCGTGAGCTGGGAACTCCTGCCGGAGCAGAAATGATGTTGTCCTCAAAATCCCCCAGGAGCTCTGCCCAGCCCCAACCCCAGCAGGTGGGACTCCTGATCCCAGGAGAATCAAGGCACCAGTTTGCTGCCCAGACTCAGACCATCTCACGATACACCTATTCTTTACCTTCCTAATTACTATTTCACTAATCAGCAAATTATTTGATCAGAAAATAGAGGTTGGAATTAACCCTATGAGGAGCCTGAATTTCCCTAGGGCTTTACCCAGGTGCCAAAACCTGTCTGAAACCCTGCCCCTTCCCCTCTCCCTTCTGCAGCTAGCAGCTAAAACAGACCTAAAAGACCTGGAATTGCACCCAAACTGAAACATTGCCTTTGTTTTCCCATTGCCTGACAGCCCAAGGAAAGTTGGGTCCCTGAGAGTCGGGTCCTTCCAATTTGCATTCTCGGTGCACAATCCTGGCTGGCACTTCCCATCTAATAACTGCGCCTTTTGTTTATCTATAATCCACCCCTGTCACTGTATACCTGTAGAGCACCTTTATCTCTAGGCCTCCTATCTCCCGTACAGAGACCATTCAGCCCTGGGGCTTGTCAGTTTTATGATTCATGGGTATATATTGTACCTAAGATCCTACAAAGAAGGTCTTGAAGTAATTTAAAAAAAAGAAAAGAAAAAAAAAGAAGAAAAAGAAAAAGGAAAAGGAAAGAAAACAGGTATTTCAGATGGCATGCTGTGTGAAAGAAATCCCTTATTGACTAGTCTAATCTTGTATAATGTAATCTAATAATAAAGCCAGTTCCCAGAGGTACTGCTCAATAGATGTTATAGTGTTAAAACATGTTTTATGCTGTGTTCTGAAACATATTAAGTGTAACAAAATTGTCCAGCTACTTCTTACATACCAGCTACTAAATATGGCATGAATGCTGTCAATAAAGTAAGCAGTTACTATATTTCAGATTTCTCCGAGGCATAGGATTCAGTTATACTTTCAGTAATCAATTAGTTGGCTGCTCATTACTGGCACAGATTGCTTGCAGCCTCTCAGGCTACATTCCCTGTATGCCCTGGGTGAGGAACTGTGCAGGGCATCCCATCCCACACACTGGGGCCATTGGTCCAGAGGATGCCAGGCCACTGCCTGCTGCTTTAGGTGCACCTCATCCCTCCTGAGCTGGGAACCACCTCACAGCAGAGCTGGATAGAAAAAGCCTCCTTCAAATGTGCAACGCAGTCCTGGAAGGCTTGAGTGGCTAAATTTTACTCACCATACTGGGGCAGGTTGAATGGGATGAATGCTTCAGGCTCTCCTTATCTCCCCATCTTTTGGAGCAGCCTTTGCCTCAAGCATCATATCAGGTTCTTGTCTTGGACCTAAGAACATAAAAACCTCATCCCAGTGATTGTTTCCCAAAAAAAAAAAAAAAGGGAAGAAAACCTCTGTGTTCCTGAGTCACACTGTTGCCGTGATGTAGTGTACAGAGATGATAGACAAAGAATTGTCCAACTAAAGGGATATACATCTCTGGGGCAGGATGCTCTGCAGGGATGGGAATGACACGCAGGGGGAAAAAGAGCAGGAACTGCTTCAGCTGGGCTTGGTGCCACTGGAAATCGCTGTGGAAAAACACCCCAACAACCTAAAAGGCACCAAAAAGCATTGAAACAGCCAGGATCACCTGCACGAAGAGGGACTCAGTGCACACATCCCAGACAGAATTGTCCAAGTGACCTCAATGACAAACAGATCTGTTTCCTGAGATGCTTTTCAAACTCCAGACCCCATCTTCTTTCTCAGGGCATGAATTTTCTTTGAACGGTGCTAGTTTTTTCAGTGTAGTCATAGATTAGAAATTATATGTCTGGGGTCCCTTAGGATTATTTTTTATTGGGTGTGTGAATCACAGAGTTGTTTCCGTTCCTTGATTAAATGAGTATGACTCTTAGAACCAAGGTTTTAATAATAAATGTTGTATTTACAAATTCATAATTTGCAAATACTCTTCAGGCTTCTTTTAAATTGCTGTTTTCATGGAGACTTCTCTCAGCAAACTGACTTGTACAAGTTTGGTTTTATTTGTAGAGAGCAGACACATCACGGGAATGAAGGCAAGAAAAGATAATGCTGTTGAGGCTTTTTCCCTTGAATGAAAATTCTTGGAAAATTAGTTGTTAATCCTGTTACAGGTGTGGAGAAGATTCAAAAATAATTTTATTGTTGTCATATAAAATGGCAAATTAAATCTAATATATTTGGGCAATAGCAATACTACTGACACTAATATTATACTATTGATAGATTCTAATAGCAATAATTAGTACAAATATTATTAGTGACATAATTACCTGATCTGTAGATATATTGTACACACAGTAGAAATTAGCAAAACAGAGCGCAGAATTACTTGCTGACATCTATATTTTCCATATAATCATCATAAAAGCAGGCATGGACTCTACGTGAAAAGATATACATGTTCTCCTGAAAATTATGCCAACAGTTGTTGTGAAGTGCCAAGATATGTATTGTTCCTTCCAGACCTGAGAAACAGAAAAGTACTGGCCATGAACAAATATAAATAATTAAAACAGATTTGCAGCATATTTTATATATGCAGTTGCTACTAGCATATGAGAAATATTGCCTTAAAAGATGTGATGCATCATGACACAATCACCAATTATTTATCACAGTAACAATCCAAATTGTGTCCTCAATATGCTTAATTGTATATTTAAATTAAATACAGGCAGTCCACGTAAAGTAGAAATCAATCAATATATTGTAATTAATATAATCATATCTCTCTAGAGATCTAGCAGGTATGTTAGATATAGACAGATATGCAGATTGTATTGCTTCTTAACACAACAGGACATTCATGTGGTAGGAGGGCCTGAAATACAAACAGTAAATACAGGTACATACTAGGTAATATTAAACATAGGTACATCGTTACAGACCACGAAATTGTTAGCCTTTATGTAGTCCCAGCATCTTTTCAGAGAACAGCAGAATTATCACTCTAGAAAGCATTATGTGTTGACATCCAATTGGTACTTAACAATAAAACAATGGCCTTATTAAATCTAAATTAAATCCTGTTTAAGATAAATTTAATTTAAAGTGTGGCTTAAATGGCTCACGAGAGTGACAAATGCCCTGAATGAAGCAGTCCCAAATCGTTTGTACTGCTTTATTATTTCAGCCAGATAGCTGTTTATTATTTTTATATTATTATTTTAATTTACTGATATTCCGTCTGCTTGCATAGAGCTATTTGAACAACCAGAACTATGGATCTGTCAGATGCTTTCTAATTCTAGCTCAGAGCTGCTAACATTCCTCAGAAACTTTTGCAAGCAGACAGAGTCATTAACATCATTTGACCATTTCATTTCAGGATTCATTTTACACAGCTGGAGCTGAGCTGTTCTGCGAATGAGACATGCCTATAATTGACAAAACACAGGACTGACCCTGAGCCAGCAAAAAAAAAATAATAATCTGTTACTTACATAAGCTAAAGGTGCTTACACTTTCGTAGTTTCTTGCAACAAATTTTGTTTTCTGTGAGTTGCATTTGCTTTGTGATTTTTTTCTGAAAAAGAGCATCTGCAAAATAATCCTCGTCCACTGTGTACTTTAAATAGTATCAAATAATAATCTATAACTGATGCAAACTCTCTGGGCATGGTTACCATCACAATTAGCTTCTTTCTAAAAAAGTGATTTTTCCTCCTTAAGCAAAAAGTGAGACAGGTACGGTGTGCATTTTATACTCTAGTGAATGGAACCCCTCAGCACTCCAATTCCCTGAAAATTTTCCACATTGATTTGTAACCTTTGGGGGAAAAATTCTTAATTCTCCATGGTTTCTGATCACTTAGGCTTTTCTGGGCTTGGGTAACACAGCATGCCACATGTTTTCCTAACAAATTGCATTCGGACACTTTCCGACACTTTCATTATTTTAACTCAGGTAATAATTAGTCACTGTCAGAGCTAAGACTTAGGTTGTGCAAATCAGAATAAATTTACCTTGCTGTAGCAGCAGTCACAAATGAAGCAATAAATTAGAAATAGCAAATTGTTACGGACTTAAGAGATCACAACTCAGAATCGCTACCTGAAATCCAGGAAATGTTACAGCGCTGCCAAGATTTCCTTGAGAGCTTAATTTTTCCAGATAACTTTGTGTTTCAAGAATGTTATTGCAAAAAGCCCTGGAGATATTATACTCGTGACATTCCCTAAGAAAACACAACGGGACTCTGCTATTGCAAAAAAAAATCAAATGACCAAAGACTGTTTCTTATTAGTATGAAACGCATGTCTTTTGAAGGTCTTCAGGGTTCAGAGTCTCTCCCCCTCCCCAGCTTCTCTCTCCCTTATCCTTACAGTTTGTATAGATTAAATGCATAGTGCAACCCCATGGGTTCTCTGTTGTAAAGCTATGTCTAATATGAGGCCACTAGACACTGTCACATAAAATCCATTAAAGTCCATCAGATCCACTGTCTTGGTAACATTCAGCTCATTGTCATTGGGCTGCTGCAATGAAGCATAGAGTGCCTGCTTTGAAACTTGATTAAAACAATTCATTAAAAGTAAGGCAACTAATCAGAACACAAGGGTTGTCTTCATGGGACTTGAAAAGTTCATTAGTGCCCCCACCATGAAAAACAGGGGCGGGAAAAAGAAAGAGGCAGGAGAGAGAAAGGGAGAGCCCTCCTCCTCCTCCCCTCCTTTTCGAGCTGTTTTCTAGGGGCTGCGGAGCCAGTGTCCTTCCCCTGGGCTTTAATTGGTTTGATCTGATCCTCCAACACCGTCCCAAAGCCTTCATTTGAAATTGTTGGTCATTATGGTGTGGTGCCTCTTTTTTCCATTTTCTTAAATAGCTACAGAAATGCTACTGGCCAAAGTTTTTCTTCTAATTTCACTTCTCTCACCAAAAAACCACAGATTTCATTATACAAATGCTCTTCTGTATAAAAGAACAAGAAACAAGAAGAAACAGCATCTCAGTCTCTTTTACAGTGAATGCTTGGCTTGTTTTCTTTCAAAATCTTCTCCAATTTAATTTTTAGCCCCTCAAAATAAAAACACTTGAAAATGAAAATTGTTTTGAATTTGTCAGAAGAGCACCACTCTAGAAAACATAATTTATGCTTTTGAATTGCCAGAAAAAATTCATTTTTTTCATTTGCTTTCTGAACAAATTTCTTTTTGATTTCACAATGAAAACAGCTCCGATAAATCAGTGTGTTTTGGTCAAGCTCTGTTTTTTACTCTGAAATTCTGACTGACCTGGTCAAAAGGCATCAACATGGGTACCTGAGCATAAATAGGCTATTTCTGCAAAGTTTTATTAAAAAGAAAAAAAAAAAACAGAACAAACAACAAACCCTTGCACAAATGATATCAGTGTGCAGAGGTTTCTTTCTAGCATTCCCACATACTGTTTGAGGATGTAAGGGGCTGCTGCGGGTCTGGCATATCTTGTCAGCTGTTTGCAGAGGTGTGTTAGCTCCTAATCTGAACAGGTAAATAGCAGTAAATTCACAGAGCCTATTTCACCGGTGTTAATGTTCTTGTGAATAGTAATAGCGGAGCGCTGCTCCAGACACCCTTCAGGAAGGCTGTGATTTACGTGATGTGGGAAAGGTCTATTCTCTTTGTTCAATATAAGCCATAAACAAAATTCATCCAAATGACTATTATGAAAAGTAGCTTCACAATATTGCATGAATCTTTCCACATCTTATATCCTATCTAAAGCTGATGCTTGTAAGATGGACTACTTGTATTGCAGGAACTCTATAGATTATCTCCATTACCGATTAAAGAGACTGCCTTTTTTCCGTGCCTCCTGCCTACTCATTTGTTACCTCCTTAAATGAGTGAAGGGTCTTTTGATTACAGGGTTCTTTGCTCAGGAAACCACCATATTTGCAAACACAAATGCATATATACACTCTAATGAATAATGAAGGTTATTTATTGCTTGTGCTTGAAATAATGGTTGATTTTGGAGTGCCTTTCATAAAACCCACATCAGAAAGTGTGTTATGTCCTGACATTTTCATTGCAGTTCAAGTAAAATAGTCCTCGGAAATTGTCTTGCTACCAAATTGCAATCATAAAGGCATGGCTTCAGACTCTGAGAATCACTTCAGATTGTGAACTTCTGGATAATATATAACATAAAGAGTTTAATTGAATCAGCCAGTTGGGTTTTTGCCCAGAAAAGTAGAAATTTAAATGCTGATGCAGCTTCCAATGACACCAGTCAGCACTCCTTAGATTGGATTGTAAATAATCTTATTTGAGGATATGCAGTATGATAGGGATATACTTGTCTGTAAACTTGCTAGCAAAAGTAATTAAATAATTCCATTGTGTACTAAGACATATGAAAAATCACTGACCCCAAAGAGATTTGATAAGTGTTTACCAGCAGCTAGAAGAAAATACTGACTTTTTAGCAACTCTTGTCTTATTTTTGAGTTGCTAGGACAAAACAGAATAATAAATCAAAACGCAGCAACAGTGAAATCTGTTTCTGACCCATGTTTGAAGACATTTGTGGCAAATGCCTTTCAGCCCACTTGGATGGCAACACGAATCCACTGTCTGAATGCAGCCTGGTTCACATCCCAGTGTTTAAAAGTTCATCTGGATTGGTGTCCTGAACATCTCAAGTGAGGTTTTTCAAGCTTCAGCTATGACTGATAGAAACAGAAAAATAAATACAAAAAGATCTCCCACCTGATCCAACATAAGGTATTGTATCCATTCAAGGCCAAAAAAAAGGGGAATCTGGTCAGTACTTTTAACTGAAAATAATATTTACTCCCAACTCATAAATATCTCAATTTTTTTCCAGAAGTTTCACACTTGTTTAATGAGAAATGTTAAAAGTGAAAAATGAAACAATTTAAAACCCTGCCTTCATACACCTTTAATACTTTCTTTTGCTTTTTTTTTTTTTTTTCAGATATAATGTTATAATGGACAATTGAAATAATTAAGGGGGTAAATAGAAGACAGTGGAGCAAAAGTTCAAACAAGTGAAAATATTGGTTTTGTTTAAAAACCCCAGGGGCTGGGTTTTTTTTACAATTTAAAATGAATTTTAAACATTCATCTACAATTTTTCAAGAAAGCAAAAACCTGAGTGAAGGGTTTTCCTTAAATATTACTGATGTTTTCCAATGTCCAAGTTGTGAGGTGCAGTTACTCAATGTAAGAGGCATCTGATCCGAAGTACAAAGTTGCCTTAGTCAGAGACAGCTTGGTTAGGATGAGAGAGGGTGGTCCTTTCTACTGTAGCTGTTAGTGTGTGTAGGAAAGCTAAAGAATTTGTATTAAGTGTGAATTAAGAATTCACACTTCAGATGTTCTTGTTTCCCTATCCATACTACTCGCAAAGCTTAAAGGCTACAGCTGCCTTCATCCATTCTGCTTAATGTTGTAGCATCATTAGTCCATGCAAACTCAGTCATGTGTGCTAGACCGGTCACTAATTTAGTTCCTC